ATATCAAGGGGACATTTTATAGTTTAAAGGAGAATCCAAAAAGTGTTTGAAGTTACCTTTTTACATTTTATATTTGAAACATTTTAAAGGATCAAATGCAGTGGAATTGAGTGAAATGTGAAATAGAAAGTCAGGCTATTGTACTGAAAACATTTCTGCACTGCACTCTGTGTTCAGTCCTAAGGACGGAGTGGTGAGCAGATAGAAATGCTCCTGCCTTCCCGGAACTTAATCTGTTGGGAAGGATATTAATCAAATAGTCACACAAACATATACAAATTGTAATACATCCTATGAAGTGCAGCGTGCTCTGAGAGTTAATCAGGTTCTGGTGTGGTGTGGTTAGGAATGGCTTTTCTGAGGCAGTGATAGATGGGCTGAGGTCTAAAACATAAGGATATAGGAGCTGGAATTTAAAGGAGAAAGACCCTGTCAACTCTGCATTAACAGACAGTGCTGCTACTGCTGCTCGCGTGGAGAAAACGGATTGGAGTGAATTGTGGGGTAAGTCTGCTTGCGCACGTACACATTTGCAGAGCAGGTGAGGGAGGCACAGGTGCAGGCTGTTGCACGGGTGCAGGTGAGTGGTACTGTAGCTTGGACTACAGTAATGATGGTGGAGGTGGCAGAGAAGAGGGCTGTACTTGAGAGGTGTTTCAGAGGTACGATTAACAGGATTTGGTCATATGTTGGAAGTGGGGAGAGAGTGGTCAAGAAAAAATTCAAGGTTTTCCTAGATTGTGCAACTCAGTGGTAGATAGTATCAGGAAGGGTGAGATGTGGACATTATGAGTTTGTGCCTCTGAGATAACCAGGTGGACATTATAGTCAGTTGGATGTAGAACTTTACAGTTCAGGATTACGGCCTAGAAATGGAAATTCAGAGGCCAGGTGTGGTGGGTCACACCTATAATCTCAGCACTTTGGGAGGCCGAGGAGGGCGGATCACAAGGTCGGGAGTTTGAGACCAGCCTGACTATCATGGTGAAGCCTTGTCTCTACTAAAAGTAAAAAAAATTAGCTGGGCGTGGTGGTGTACGCCTGTAGTCCCAGCTACTTGGGAGGCTGAGGTAGGAGAATCGCTTGAACTCGGGAGGTGGAAGTTGTGGTGAGCCGAGATCACACCATTGCACTTCAGCCTGGGCAACAGAGCGAGACCCTGTTTAAAAACAATAACAACAACAAAAGAAAATCAGGAGGTAACAGGATGACACGTGATAACTGGTGAAGTAAGAGAGGGGGAGGCCCGAAGACTATGCCATGAAGAGCTTCAAAATTTAATTCTGGCATGATGAAACCCTGGGAAGTGAAACCCTGGGAAGTACTGATTTTAAATAGAATCCTGGCAACCGAAATGATCAAATTCCTTCTGTGGCTGAATGTGATGCTAGGCTTGAGCTTAGCAATGCATTGGTCACCCACCTGTTTGCTGTTTCCATTGCATTTACTAGTCTAAAATTTGGGGCAGCAGGCAGAGTTAAGGGATGGAGGACAGTTAGAGACAGGGTAGAGAACTAGAAAGAATTGCATTTGCCTCTGATGGGAGATTGCCCTGGGGGTTCTTTGGAAACTTTTGGGGGTGTCTGGGAGAGTACTGGTGGCTTTTCTGTTGATGTTCAGTGAGGTTCAAAGTTCTGAAGTGCTTGGTTTAATCTCACATGTTGAGGAATGTTGAGCAGAACTCACCAGGGAAATGCTGAGCTAAAGGCTTCAGGACTCAGGACGGAGAGGAGGTGGTTGTGAGTGTTTGACAGTGAAGGGTGTCATGTCAGTGGCAGGCGCCGGAGTAAAGCTATTAAATAATTACGTGACTTTAAAATCCTGGCTAAATAACCTAAAAAAATTTCTCCCCCAGCCATGCTGTAGAGCAGTATTCTCTACCTTGTTAGCATATTAGAATCACTTGGGGAGTTAAAAACAAACAAGACCAGACACCTACTGCAGACCAATTAAATGTCTCTAAGATTAGAATAGAGGACGGTGTCCCAGAGGATCATGTCCCAGCTTGCCCTGTACAACTGACTATGCTGGATGTTTATTCCTATTTGTATATAAAGCCATACTGTCTTACATGCCTGCTCAGGATGTTTGTTTATGTAAAAATAAGACGTCAGGACCCCTAGTAGAGGTTGAACTTCTGAACCTGCCCACTCTGAGGCCTTGCTAGTCCCTGGAGCCTTCCCGTGAGAGCACTGATTCTCAGCCTTAGATTGTAACCTTATATTACAATCAGCGGGGGAGTTTTTAACTTTTATTAAAGTATGACATAGATTCAGAAAAGTGCACATTTAAGTATAACCATTGAATGAGCATCCGAATAGACTGAGTACAGTGGCTCACACCTGTAATCCCAGCACTTTGGGAGGCCGAGGCAGGCAGATCACCTGAGGTCGGGAGTTCGTGACCAGTCTGACCAATGTGGAGAAACCCCTTCTTTACTAAAAATACAAAATTAGCCAGGCATGGTGGCTCATGCCTGTAAATCCCAGCTACTCAACAGGCTGAGGCAGGATAATCACTTGAACCTGGGAGGTGGAGGTTGCCGTGAGCCAAGATTATGCCATTGCACTCCAGCTTGGGCAACAAGAGTGAAACTCTGTCTCAAAAAAAAAAAAAAAACCAGAAAACTTAGAATATTGTCAGCACCCAGAAGCTACCATTCATACATTCTCCAAGTCACTCTCTTCCCTAAAAGGTGATCACTCGCCTGACTTCTAATATTGTAGTTTGCCTGTTTTTGAACTTTTTACAAAAATAATCAAATAGTGTCTTTTCTTTCTTGTCTGGCATTTTCTACTTGATGTTGCTAAGAGACTGTTCTTGGTGAATTTGTTCCTGCACCTTTATATTAGTGCACATAAATACAATGAACAGAGGTGATTTGCTAATTACTTCTTGGTGACTTTTTACAGATGTTCACGTCTCATTACAGATTTAAGTTTACGGCCAAATAGACCTCTGGTAGTGGAAGTTCTCAGGCCAGGGCTAGGAAGACACAGATCTTTTAATTCCAAGTCTGAGCTAGTTATTAGCACAAGGCCGAGGTAGGGAGAGTGGGAGGCACAGTGCTGGCATGTTTCAGTGAGGCCTCCCACATTTACACCAGTTGTTAGGAAGGGTGCCAACCAGGGCCTGAAAAGGAGCCACTTTGTGAACTATCTGAAGTGAGTTTCCTATGTTGCAAAATGTGATGGCTTCTTTTAGCCTCCTCTGTGTTTACTTAAGCCAATATGGCAAGACTCACATTTTAAACTCAGTTTTTATGCTTCTCTTTCAGACCACAGTTCCTTTAGAGCTTCCTCAGGTGAAACCAAAGAGAACTGATGATGGCAAGGGATTAGGGATGCAGTTAAAGTGGCCCTTGGGGCCTGAAGGAAGGGAGCTGAAATCTGCTGCTACTGGCTGCCCTGGGTCGCTGGGCAAAGACAACCCAAGACCAGGTCCTTCAGTCGATTCTCAGAAACCCACTTCCCCACTGCAGTCAGCAGGAGACCGTTTGGAAGAGGAACTAGATCTGTTGCTTAACTTAGATGCACCTATAAAAGAGGGAGATAACACCTTACCGGATCAGACATCTCAGGACCGGAAATCCAAGAAAGATGGGGAGGTGGTCCAGGAGGAAGAAGGTATGGCTTTCATTTTATTGCCCATCCATCTTGATTCTGGTGTTTTTCCGAGAACAGCCCACCTGCATCACATCCTTACACATCTCTCTCGGTGTCTGACATTGATCCCGTGCTGTCCACTGACAGCTGTTTCTGTGCTCACATCCCTGCTTCCCCCTGAGCTGACCTTTCTGACAACCTTCTCTCACTCGACACACCGAGCTTCCAAAGCTGCTACCTGCCCCATTGCAGTAGAAACCTGGGGCTGCAAATGGAACTTCTGCTATGAAAAGGCATTAGGATACCTGTAGCCTTCAGCTTTTCAGCAGTGACAGGCCAACTCTTCACGTTTTTCTTGCTATTTCAATCTTATTTTTTGACAGAACAACACCACATTCTAATTTTTGCATGTCCTGTGAGATGGTGGCCTATTTGATGTAGAGCGGCCCAAGGAGATTGCCACATCCATCTATTGCATTTGAGATCCTTTAATTTTCAAGGACTGCTGCAAGAATAGTAAAACTGAGCTGTTGGTCTTAACAAAGAAACAACAACAACAACAAAAACTAGCAGGCTGTGAAGTTCTGCTTCAGAATAAAGAGCAAATCCTCTACCCAGGTTTTATTGTTTAGATATTGCTGTATCATCTTAGGGAGTAATAATAATGAGAATGTTTCCCCTTGTTGTAAGGAAAGTAATAATTAGGGCTGAATTATACCTGGGAACAAACCTGAGGGAAGCTTTACCCTCAATTGTAGGACTCATCTGAGGGTGTTAACATTGCTTTTATTTCCCCAGTTTGTGCAGAACCATCTGTGACTGAGGAAAAGAACATGGAACCTGACCAACCAAGAACATCCAAAAATGTTACTGAGGAAGAGCTGGAAGACTGGTTGGACAGCATGATTTCCTAAAAGGGGGGAAGAAGTGCCTGAAGCAAATCTTGGTTGCCTTCTAAGGGCAGGTGGGCATAAGGCTGTCCTTCAGGAACAGCCAGTTTACAGGCATGCCCCAAGCTAGTGCGTTCCATTATGCTCACAGCAGCAAATGCAATGCCTACCTCTGTGTGTGACATCTGAAAGAACACCTTGAAGCAGCTTGTTGCATTTGTTTTTCTGGCTTAGTAATCTAATAGATTTCCTCAAGGACAGGGCGTACTGTGGCCCTTGTTTCTAGCTGCTGCCTTTGCAGTGTTTACAGCATAGCAGGTGCTGCCGCTGATTAAGAGAATAGATGCAAACAAGGCATGCATTTGGTCAAAATAAACAAATGCTGGTCTGTCCGGTTTTTCGTTCTTGTGTGGGGCCCTGGGCAATCTGTCTCATGTCCCCTTCCCCAGCAGTCACGGAGTGGTTGTGGAATCAGCCAGAAGTGATGCATTCCAAGAGGCCAAACCATGGATTGGTATGTATTACTTTATTGCAGTGGGCACTTTGTTTTATTTGAGGAGATTCACCTAAACATAGCAGCTCCACTACTTACAAGGGACCATAAGCATTACTCAATTTTGGCATAAGGTTGAGATTTTTTTTCTGAATTTTCAGTACAGTACTTTTCTTCTAACAACAGCAGTTGACAGCTGTTACTAAAAAAAAAAAAAATTATATGAATAACCTTCCAGTGCAGTTTCATAAAGTAAGACAAGATCACCACTAATTAATGGAACTGTCCTTCTGGAACACAAACATAAAAAACTTGCATAGCTATATCTAAAGAGGTTTTAAGGCACTTAATCGAGATTTCACTGTCGACAAAGTGTCGGGTTTTTTCTGTTTCTTTAACTGCTTAAAGCTTTTCTGGATACAGTCAGTAGCAAGTACCATGGGAAAAATTAGACTCAGTTAAAATTATTTTTTGTAGTTCAGACCCTATGAGTCACAAGTTGATACCATCATATGACATTCAAGTGTTTAAAATTTCAGGTATTACACATTCAAGACTTCATACTTCTGTAGCCCTTTCCTTAATGCTACCATTCCCAACAAATTAGATACCTTAGAACTGAAAAACTCGCAGGCATTTCACTAGAGATTATTTGATTCCTTGCCATCCTCCTTAAACATTTTGACAGGTTCCCACAGTGTATGTATGTCCATTAGGCACAAAAAGCCAAATCAATTTCAAAATAGCACAGATTTTCAGCAAACTTTTTTTTTTTTAAGGGAGGTATTTAGAAAATGTCACATTTCAAATATGTTGCAGATCTGTAACAGGAGGACTTTATTTCATTGGAAGTTGACTGTCCAGAATTGTGGCACTTCTTTCATTCAGATTATCCAAGCTGATCTTCATATTGTTTACGAAAGCAATCACCGGCTGGGAAGAAATCCCAACACCTTTCTTGGTACATTTTCCAGACATAAGATTCCTGAAATAATGTGCACAACGGGTGCTTATTTTTAAACCACAGTAAGCTAAAACCCAGTGTGTTTTTGCTCTTTGTGGCTCCCTTTAGGAAGACTGATGTGAATTTATATGAGGCCAAACCTGCTCATTCATTCTTGTTCTATTCCCAGCACAGGCTGTTTGGGGAGGAAGAAGCCATGTCTGCCTGACATACTCTGCTGGCAGGGAAGGGGAAACCACCCCCCTTGCCCCAATCAATGTTTGCCACTAAAAATGCTTAAAAATTTAGCAGTAAGCTGATTGCATGCCATTGGAGGAAGATGGAGGAATGCATGAGGGAACGTTTACTGCTCGCTAAATCCAGATCTGGAAACCAGCTACCTCTCCCATTCAGTGAGTGAGCTGCGAAGTTTTCTTACAAAGCCAATGATGTTTGAATATTTGGTAACTGACTTTTTCCTCCCCTGTTCTCTACCACTACGTTTTTTACATTTAGTTACAAAATCTGACACATCCTCTCACATGCACACCTCCACGCTCCCGCTCCGTGTCCCCCACACAGGAGGCTGTTATCCTTCTTAGGCTGTCTCTCACTCCGTTGTACTCCGACTTTCCTGCTCTTTGTTACAGCCACCCACGCCATTTCTCATTGTCTTTTTCTGTTATGTTCTCCCCACCTCTAGCTATTTTAGTCTGAAGCGGTAGCTATAAGCATTTAGAAAATGTCAGTGTTTGTTAAGTCACAAAAAGGTGATGGAAAAATGCATACGTGGGCTTAATGGGGTCGTCTGTCTATTTCAGATAGCCTGTGCCCTACTCAGTCTCATGATTTAGGCAGGGGAGATCTAACACGGGTGTATGATTCTTTGAAGGCATTTTATTTCTCACCTGACCGGTGTGTTCTGTTTCATCTTTATTAATCAAATACATCAGAAAGAACCTGGAACAAGGAAAAGATAGTATTAGATACTCTGGGCAAGACCCAAGTTCATGCACATGGATTAACTGTAATCAGGGCTCATAAAGTCTGTTTGGTCCTATGCTGTCTACAGTGACTTTAAGAATCAGGGAATTGTTGGCCATGTGTGGTGGCTCACACCTGTAATCGCAGCATTTTAGGATGCCGAGGTGAGCGGATCAAGAGCTTCCTGGCCAACATGGTGAAACCTTGTCACTACTAAAAATACAAAAATTACTGTGGCGTAGTGGCACATGCCTGTAGTCCCAGCTACTCAGGAGGCTGAGGCAGGACAGTTGCTTAAGCCTGGGAGGTGGAGGTTGCAGCGAGCCGAAATCATGCCACTGCCCTCCAGTCTGGCAAGAGAGCAAGACTCCATCTCAGAAAAAAAAAAGATACCAGGGGAGTGTGGCACAGGAACCCAAAGTGTCATTTTCTAATAGTAGCAAACATAAATCTTGCAATTAGCCTCTTTGTGTGGAGAGATGCTTTTTGCCATCCCTAAACCTTGAGCTGAGATCACTTGCAAGGTAGCATATTGGCCACCATTTTATTATTAACAAAATTGTAATCTAATAAAACAGTAAAATGGTAGCCCAAATTTTTACCATAGAATATTTTATAGAGCGTTTATCATCCCATATAGATATAGAATTGAAATTATGTGGCTCTAGCATACCTGTCATAGAAAAGATGAAGTATTCAGTCTCATTGGGTTTCTCGGATTCTTCCAGAAGTTTAGTTTTGTTTTCATAGATAGCTGGGGGAATGCCGGTGTAGTTTTACTTGCTCTGTGATCCATGTCTTAAGTGTCACAGACAAAGTCAAACCTAAGTATCCCAGGGGGCAGGGGCTGAACTCTCAGCTTAATTATGTCCTTCTGAGGGTAGGGAGTCTGAGCCCCAGATCTGAGTTCTATCAAGGTGGTATGTGGTTAGAGCTTTAGGTCCTAGCCCACAGTAGTAGCTCGACTATGTTTATTGCCTTCCCCTTTCTCATTTACTGAGAAAGAAAGCAGTGTTAATCTCTTTATACTACTTGAGACTTGGGACATCTTTCTTTTCCTAGCACATTTACTTGACGAAGCACCATTTTAGGTGGGAGGCTCAAACAAATAATTTGGGTTCTTTCCCCTCAAGCTTGCTCTTAGAGAGGATAGAGACAGGAAAGAGACCAGGATAACAGTGCCAGGGGAAGGCATAGAAGAGGTTCCAACCCAAATGACAGCATCCCTCCACAGATCTGTAATCCATGAACTGACACATGGCCATGGGCTCATTCATCTCCATTAAGATGTATATTGTCTTAATGGGAATTAATGATGATAAATACTCATGACATGAGGAAGGGCACAGTATAGTTACCTTTTAAAACTCAAGTTTTTGAGGCCAGGTGTATCACTTCAGGTCAGGAGTTTGAGACCAGCTTGGCGAACACTGTAAAAACCCGCCTCTACTAAAAATAGAAAAATTAGCCTGGGATGGTGGCAGGTGCCTGTAGTCCCAGCTACTCAGGAGGCTGAGGCAGGAGAATCATTTGAACCTGGGAGGTGGAGGCTGCAGTGAGCCAAGATGGCACCATTGCACTCCAGCCTGGGCAACAGAGCCAGACTGTCTCAATAAAAACAAAACTCATGTTTTTGATTTAAGAAACTTATACGCCAGCAAAAACATATCTTTGCCACTTCTGACCATGCCTTCTCCAAAAGCTGAGCGTTCTCTCGCCTAAAGAAAGATGAAGGCTAGGCTCAGTAGTATGTCACCAGCCTGGGCAACATGGCAAAACCCCATCTTTACCAAAAATTAAAAAAAAAAAAATTATTAGCTGGTTCTAAATTAATGGTGTGCCTAAAAAAAAACAAACAAAAAAAAA